TTTACAGGGATCCTTAAAGGGCTACTATAAGGGTGTAGGGGTTTGGGGCTTAGGGTTTAGGGTTTAAGCGTTTAGGGTGTAGGGTTTAGGGTTTAGAACTTGAACATTACCTATAGTCTCCATTGTAGTTCGTTTCTTTGGTTTAACCCAAAATATATCAAGGATTGTATAAGGTATCCCCCAAAAGGAACTACAATGGAGACTATAGGAAGGGTTTGGGGGTTTTAGGGCTTAGGGTTCAGGGCTTCGGGTTTAGGGTTCAGGGTTTCTATATGGTGTTTGTTTATGGGAATTTGCAGGATTTCTGTAGTTTTACAGGAGTTTGACAGCGTGCATCTCGGGTTTTTAAGAGATTGCAATTTTATTGCGGGTCCTTTAATATAGGGCTCGAGTAGTATATAAAAGTGTACATTATTGTGAGTTATCGGGTTTAAATGGGTTGAATATCAGAGGATTTGGGTTGGGTCTTTATAGGGTGTTGGAGTCTCACGGTATTGTTGTTTTCGGGTTTAGGGTTTAGGGGTGTAGGGCAGGGTTTCAACAGGGCTTCAGCTGGATACTTTAGGCCTCGGAGGGTTAAGGGTTTAGGGTTCGTTTAATCAAGTCTTGGATTGTTGCAAGCGTTTTTTTCTCATTCCGGGTGGTCGTCACTTCCTACACACCTTGGTAGGGACATTGGCGAGAGTTTTTTGAGGGTGTTATTATGGGGATGCTGATCATACGAGGGTTTCTGAACTTGGGGTGCCACTTTTGGTGGTCCACGCAGTATAGCAGTGGGCTACTACTCTCTCCTACTACTCCTCTTTGACGTATATAGGACCACTTTGCGCAGACCCTAAACCTGGACGTACACCCTAATTAAATCCTAAATAGATACAGATAACAGGGACTTATTAAAGGGAAATCACTTTCAGGAAAGCTTGGAAAAGGAAAGTTTGCTAGGGTCATGGTATGAGCTATGACCTGAAGCCTAAACCTTAAAACCCTAAACCCCTAAACTCCCAAACCCTAAACTCTAAAACCCTAAAACCCTAAACTCTAAAACCCCAAAACCCTAAACCCTAAACTCCAAAGCCCTAAAGCCCTAGACCCTAAACCCTAAAACCCTAAAGCCCTATGACCTAGGAACTCAGGAGCCCTAAACCCTAAACCCTAAACCCTAAACCCTAAACCCTAAACCCTAATCAGGAGTCCTGGCATGAAAGTGTACGAACCCTGGTCTTCGGCTTGGGGTTCTGGGGTTCAAGGTTTGTAGGGCTCAGGGGTTTAGGGTTTAGGGTTTAGGATTCATGTTTAGGGTTTAGGGTT